CTCCTTGCTGTTGAGACACTTGGAAAGCCGGAGGAGCTATGTGTCAGCCTGCACCACCAGCACTGAGATGCATCCACCGACACTGGATCCACAAGACTTTTTACCCACCTGCCTGTGACGTGCCTGCATTCAGCCTCATTGCATGTGCTGTGAGAATCTGAAGAGGAATTTATAGAGTAGTATTGGACATATGGGCTAATATCAGATTTATGGACTTGATTTGGACTGGGCTGGGATATTTTCTTATTATCAATTATTATTTGATATAAAGTTTTTCCTATATGTATATGAATGTTCCTGGATTTGTTTCTCTAGTCAACCCAGTCTAACACAACTAGTGACATCTATATATGCATTAAAAAAAACCCACATCTTTATATTAAGAAAATGGTCCACACAGCTTCAGAGGGGGCAAACCCAATCCGGATCAAATCTGTGGTTCAGAGGCTAAGCTGGAGGCCCTTCCTGACTCATGCGGCTGCCCTGGTTGAGAAACCAGGGAGCAGGAGGATGAACCAGGAGGCACAAGGACAAAGCTTGAAGATGCCGTAGGAAGCCCATGGTGGTGGGTGCAGTTAGATCAGATGATCAGATACTAGGCTCTAATGTCTCCCACAGTCAGTGGACAATATGGCAGGCCACTGATAGTTCCCAGGGTTGACAGACAATATGGTGAGCTATTGGCAGGCAATATGATGGACCTCAAAGACAAATCTGTTCATTCTTCTGGCCATCCATGGTATATTCAGTATTCTTTATCAACATCACAAGTCAAATTCATTTTTTCTTCCTTATTCATTGTCCAGTTTTTGTATGCATATGAGGTGCTGAAAATAACATGGCTTGAATCAGATCCTCAAAGTGACTTTTTTTTAGTACTTTAAAGAGGACTTTTGCAGGTGATTTGTCCTCTGATTTCTTAAGTACTACTTCCATGGATGTAGAATTTATTTCCAAGTAAAGTAAAACCATTGACAACTGCAGGCTTGTCACCATTTGTCACGATGTTGCTTATTGGTCTAGTTAAGGATTCAATATAAATTACAGGTGTTCCTGATATTTCAGATATGGCAATATAAATCACTATACCATAAATATTATACACACCAGTTAACATCTTCAGTATCATGATGAACCTTGGTAATTTGAACACAAATTACCCATCATTCCCCTGAGATTTCACTCATCCGTTTTCGTTTCATTTAAGCCTCAGGGCCAGTTTATCTCATTGATCCTCAAGAAGGACAAGCCTCTGAGTTCTGCTACTTCTAATTATACTCCCAAAAGTGAACAATTGAAAGGACAGGCCTTTTCCTGCTTACAAGGATGTATGCAGCCTAGGAGCAGCATACAACCAAGGGTAAAGTTCAGGGTCAAGCAGAATGTCCCATGTAAAACAAACATGCCTAAGATGACGCAAAGAGTGGGTGACTGGGAAACTTAGGGTTTCATTTCTCTACACGCAAAGAAAACTCAAACGTAATTTCAGCCATCGCAGTGCTCCTTGGGTCGCCCCCAAATCTTACTGATGCTAACAAATCTGCAACTCAAAACGTGGCAGCTCCTTCCAGAGAAACCAGGTGACCCAACGCTGCTGGTTCTTGTTTCAAAAAGTATCAATTCCAGCATACAATGGACACAATTTCATGACTCCTTTCAGTGTTCTCAGCTGCAGTGTCCTCTCACCCGAACTGAACATAACACAAACGGAAAGATCTAATGGTTTCTGTCACTGGAAGTGGGATTTTCCACAGGACCTGTTTTGAACTAATTTAATAGTAAAAGTCTCTGATAAGAGTTTGTGACAAGGACTACCCAGGCATACCTCAGAGATATTGTGGATTCTAGACCACTGCAATAAAGTAACAGGTCAATAAAGTGAGTCCCACTTTTTTTTTTTTTTTGCTTCCCAGTATATATAAAAGTTATGCTTAAACTATCCTGCCGTCTACAATAACATAATGAAAAGGTTTGCACTATTGTGAGAATTACAAAAAGGTGACAGACACCAAGTGACCACAACCTGTGGGGAAAATGTCATCAATAGACTTGCTTGAAGCAAGGTTGCCCGGACACTGTATTTGTAGGAAAGAGAAGAAAACGCACTAACTGTGAAGCACAGTGAAGTGCAACGTCTGTCTTTAATCATCCCATCTAGCCTGCTGATGGAGAGTAACTCTAAGTTCACTCATGAAGCTATTTATTTCCATCCATGAGAATTGTTGAAGAATTGTTTAAAATAAGAAACCTAGAAATGATTCCAAAGAGGCCGGGTGGCACCGTGGATAATGAGAGGCTGCCACTGTCAAGTCAACATACTGAAGGCGGCAGTTGCCACAAGGGAGAAAGGTGAGGCTTTCCTTGGCCCTTTCTAAAGCGACGCAGCTCTGAAACCCAGGTCCAGGCCTCCATCTTGCTCTTTTGGTCATCAGAACTCTCCTACACATCCTGTACTACTGGGTTTCTATCAAACATCACCCTCCGCTATGGTGTCCTATATAGTGCTCCTCTGTATGGGACTGTTTCCGTGAATAGCGTTCCGTGTATGTGGCTGGGTAATTGTTTCTCAAGACAAACTTCTTGACTGGGTGCACATCAACCATGTGCTCCTGGGTTTTCTCCTCAGCCTAAAGAATGTAACTGAACAACTGATCTTTCCTTTACCTTCCTGACCTTTAGAGTGCCATTTAACCAGGCATTTCTTCACAGTTTCGTACTGCTTCCTAATAAAAACAAAAAAATACTGCCATTCCGTCAATTCTGACTCATAGCAATCCTTTAGGGCAGAGCAGAACTGCCCCTGTGGGTATCTAAGGCTGCCAATCCTCACCAGAACAGAAAGTCTCCTCTTTCTTGCCAGCCTGTGGAGAGCGACTGGTGGGTGGGTTCAAACTGCTGACCTTGTGGTTAGTAGCCCAAAGTGTAACCCACTACTCCACCAGAGCTCCATACTACTTTCCCCAGGGAGCTTTGTTCTATTCTTTTTGGAGATCTTAAAATACAATTTTCCCCCCCTCCCACTCAGCAAAACTCATGTTCTAAAGGGTGTTTTGTCTAGTGAATATTAGTTAGAACCACAGATTTTAGGAGTGAAAATTATTTTCAACCTATCTATTTTCAGGGAAGCAGCTGAGGCTCAGCGAAGTGGTATGTTGAAGGTCACACCTTTCCTGAGTAGGGAAACCAGCTGGCATCCAGCTCCCGCATGGAGGAGCAGGGAGCAAACTGGCATTCCATGATGCTCACCTTCCCCACACAATCGCTGAAGACAAAGAGGGTGCATAAGCAAATGT